TATATATATATATAGTGACACTTTTGCACTGTCACTATAGACTTCTTCCCCTGCTGTTGGATACCCATCACTAGTTTGTTCATCTGCATCTGGAAGCAGGGGCAGATCTACTGTGGTGGTGATCTCTGCCACCCCTACTGCCAACCTAGTTTTGCATATGACAGTATTGTTTGTTAAAATAAGCTAGCATTAAAACTTTGAGCCTAGCTACATTAACATTGAATATAAATTCTAAAACCGAATATGCAGGCCCGATCAAAAGTTTAGGACCACTTGAAAAATAGCAAGAAATCATATTTTGCATGGTTGGATCTTAACAAGATTCCAAGTAAAGCTGCAACATACAACAAGGAGAAAGAAAACGTTTTTTTAAACATGCAATTTATTGAAAAAATGCTTAAACTGAAACAGGCTGTTTTACAGATGATCAAAATCTTAGAACCACATGCCTTTAAAATGCCAATTCTGTGCAAAAATGTGGTTTCGTTGTCATTTTCTGTCAGGTAGTCTCACTGTCATAACTTTCTGATGGCAAAGGCAAAAAAAAAAGTTCCCTTTTTGAACGTGGTTGGGTTGTTGAACTGCATAAGCACGGTCTCTTGCAGCGTCGCTGCTGAGGTGGGATACAGTAAGACAGTCATTTGGAATTTCTTAAATGATCCTGAGGGTTATGGAACAAAAAAGTCAAGTGGAAGACCCAAAATAATTTCACCAGCACTGAGCCGGAGGATAAAATTGGAGAGAGAGACAATTTTCAAAAAGATAAGAGATTTATTGGAATGTTAATCATAGGGTTAATCATTCTTAATTTCGTTGTTCTCGTGACAATGACAATAACGTTTCTGATTCTGATTCTGGGTGTTGTAGTTTGTTGTTGTTTTAGTTTATATGGTTAATTCGTTTTATGTGTGTATTGTATATGAGTGTAGACTTGTATATAGTTAATTTAAACATGCATGGATAATATAATGTCGAATTCTGAATATTGATTTATAAACAATGGGATTTGAAAAAAGTGGGTAGGAAAAGAAAAAGTGTAAACTTCATCCAACTGTTTTTCAACCACAAATATTGTGTAGACACATAGTGTAAATAGTGGGAACAGCTCATGCAAGTGGGACCCTAATCTGCCCGATGTACTCTGAGCCCCTCTCAAATGACTGAACTCCTCACCCTGTTTCTAAGGGAGAGGCCAGAAAGCTTATTTTTGCCACTTGTGTCCACTATCTCATTCTTTCAGCCACTATTATAGGTCATAACCTCAGATGAGGGAAATGACATTGATCGAACAGTAAATTAATAGCTTCCCCTTTATGCTCAGCTCTCTCTTCACTACGACAGAATGATTCAGCATCCACATCCCTGCAGATATTGACAGACTGATTGGTGCACTATCTTGCACCCTTCTCTCCTCACCCCTGAAAAAGACCCCAAGATATTTAAACTGCTCCACTTGGCAGCAACTGTTTTAGTGATTTTGTTTTATCCAAATAAAATTGAATTGAATTCAATAAATTAGTTATTAATTAATTAAAGAGCATTGACCTGTTTTATGTTTTTAGGAGTGAAGCTTTGTGTATGATCCTTAAGCCTGTTAGCTCATTTCTGCCATTTGTAGTTGAGATGTCATTCTTTCAGTTCATTTTTCAGAGCTTGTGACCACAGGTGATCGATCTGTAAATCGTCAGCTTCCACGCTGAGCTCTCCCTTCATCATAGCAGATGTGTACAGAATCCACATCACAACTAGTATGGTGGAATACTAGTTGTCTCTGAATCTTTAGCTCTTCCTCCTGAGACAGTAACTTGCTCCTGTTGTTCCTCCTTCAGCCCAAAGATCAAAGAGTTGGGGTATTTAACACCCCTAAGTGGGTACTCCATCTTTTCCCAACTGAAGAGCATGGCCTCAGATTTTGAGTTGTTAATTTTCATCCCAGTCACTTCACACGTGTTGCAAACTGCCCCAGTGTGAGCTGGATGTTGTTGATGAAGCTAAAAAGAAAAAGATACATCATCCATAAAAAGCTGAGATGAGATCCTGCAACCACCAAACCAGACACTCTTCACCACTTGGCTGCAACTGACCAAAGACGAGAGATGGTTATTTTATACATTTATTTTTTCCAAATAACTGCACTAACAGTTATCACCTAGGTTCTTGCTGATGATCTTGGAGCCCATTCCAGCATGGAGCAAGTCTTCAATTATGTCCCTTCAATCAACAGCTCTTTGGTCCTGCCCATGGTGGTGAGGTGGTTGGAGCAGCAGATATCAATTCAGTGGACATGTGTGCATTATACACATACGCTGAAATCAAAAGTATTTGTAATTGACTGATTGTAGTCAACCTGTACGAATTCTGGCTGGGTTGTAGGGGAACAGATTCCTATTTCACTCAATGACATACAAAACAACCTTTTAATGTATTTTTTAAGATTCTTTTTGTTGATATTATGTCTCTCTCAATTAAAATGAAGCTACCATAAAATTTATTGCTGTTCATTTTTTGTGAGCAAATTTAAAATTTCTACAGGGGATCAAATAATTATTCCCCTGACTGGACCACCGGCTTGACATACTCAGTAAGCAAGAAACTTAAGGTAAGGGGAGATTCCAACAGATTTATTTGATATGGATATGAAAACAATCACATTTAATGAAACAATGTTTTTTTTTTAATGACAAGAAACAAATCATTTTGGATACATTTTTAACACAGTATTAATACTGTGGTTTTAAGTGTCTGCCCCAGTTGAAATAAAATTTGACTATTTGTGCTTTAGGTTAAGATAATTCTTGTTAGCAGCACTGATATCTATAATTTTAGGTGTTTAAACTGAATTGGTTAACATGAAGAAATAAATACAATCTTCCAACAATACACTGTGAAGCTGAGTAAGTCCACCCTTTAAATCAACATAAAAAAAAGTCTTAATCACGACATTTATTTTATTGAAATATACATTTCCATGTTTTTAATTACTTTAAATCACAACTTGAAACATCAATTTATTTTTAACTAACTCAAGAAAAGTGTCAAACTGTCCAACAAAACTGATTTTTTACAGCAATCGTTTCAAACTTGACATTCTCAAGTGGATGTGGATGGATGTGGATAGAGTACAGTCTTTATCAGTTAATGTGGGGCACAGTCGTCTGGAGGCTGATTTCTATCCTTCCATCATTCCAGGGACTTAAATAAAAATCAGTCTGGTCTCCCTTCAACAGTTTTCTTTGAGGTTGACTGCAACCTCAGAGCGCACCACGCTCTTCATAGTTCTCTGCATTATCCATGTAGCCAGGTGGATAGTCACAAAGGCACCAGAGACGGCCCACAGCCAGTTCCTTCTGAGCCAGCTCTGAGGTTTCATGGTGACACCACTGCAGGGGAAGAAGAAAAACAGTATTTACTCACAAACACTTGGTATACAGAAAAACATGGCAGAGAAGCCAAATAAAATTGACCATTTTCACAGTTACTGGGAGGAAGAGTTTGTTTTTAATCACAGGTAAACAAAGGGTGTATGTCTCACTTGCTGTGGCACTGGGAAACTGAACCATCTGAACTGTGAGCTGCAAGGAAAAGGTAAGACTGCTGCTGACATGATAAATGCATTTAAAGCCACGATGAGAAAAAAGCCCTGCACTTTCCCTCCAAACAGCCACTTTGTTCTCACTGTTTCGATGATATCACATGTTTTAACGACAGTCCAGCCATACTACAAGTGCGATGACTGCAAAGTGGGGTGTGCGTAATTATTCAGCCCCCTTTGGTCTGAGTGCAGTCAGTTGCACATAGACGTTGCCTGATGAGTGCTAATGACTAAATAGAGTGCACCTGTGTGTAAACTAATGTCAGTACAAATACAGCTGCTCTGTGATGGCCTCAGAGGTTGTCTAAGAGAATATTGGGAGCAACAACACCATGACGTCCAAAGAACACACCAGACAGGTCAGGGATAAAGGTATTCAGAAATTTAAAGCAGGCTTAGGCTACAAAAAGATTTCCCAAGCCTTGAACATCCCACGGAGCTCTGTTCAAGCGATCATTCAGAAATGGAAGGAGTATGGCACAACTGTAAACCTACCAAGACAAGGCCGTCCACCTAAACTCACAGGCCGAACAAGGAGAGCGCTGATCAGAAATGCAGCCAAGAGGCCCATGGTGACTCTGGACGAGCTGCAGAGATCTACAGCTCAGGTGGGGAAATCTGTCCATAGGACAACTATTAGTCGTGCACTGCACAAAGTTGGCCTTTATGGAAGAGTGGCAAGAAGAAAGCCATCGTTAACAGAAAACCATAAGAAGTCCCGTTTGCAGTTTGCCACAAGCCATGTGGGGGACACAGCACACATGTGGAAGAAGCTGCTCTGGTCAGATGAGAACAAAATGGAACTTTTTGGCCAAAATGCAAAACGCTATGTGTGGCAGAAAACTAACACTGCACATCACTCTGAACACACCATCCCCACTGTCAAATATGGTGGTGGAAGCATCATGCTCTGGGATTGCTTCTCTTCAGCAGGGACAGGGAAGCTGGTCAGAGTTGATGGGAAGATGGATGGAGCCAAATACAGGGCAATCGTGGAAGAAAACCTCTTGGAGTCGGCAAAAGACTTGAGACTGGGGCGGAGGTTCACCTTCCAGCAGGACAACGACCCTGAACATAAAGCCAGGGCAACAATGCAATGGTTTAAAACAAAACACACCCATGTGTTAGAATGGCCCAGTCAAAGTCCAGATCTAAATCCAATCGAGAATCTGTGGCAAGATCTGAAAACTGCTGTTTACAAACGCTGTCCATCTAATCTGACTGAGCTGGAGCTGTTTTGCAAAGAAGAATGGGCAAAGATTTCAGTCTCTAGATGTGCAAAGCTGGTAGAGACAAACCCTAAAAGACTGGCAGCTGTAATTGCAGCAAAAGGTGGTTCTACAAAGTATTGACTCAGGGGGCTGAATAATTACGCACACCCCACTTTTCAGTTATTTATTTGTAAAAAATGTTTGGAATCATGTATGATTTTCGTTCCACTTCTCACGTGTACACCACGTTGTGTTGGTCTTTCACGTGGAATTCCAATAAAATTGATTCATGTTTGTGGCTGTAATGTGACAAAATGTGGAAAAGTTCAAGGGGGCCGAATACTTTTGCAAGCCACTGTAACTCTGACACTCATTCTATTTCAATTGATTACATATCAGATGTTTCTAAAAATTGACTGCAGTCCACCTGTGATAAATTCAGTTGATTGGACATGACTGGGAAAGGCACACACTTGTCTATATAAGGTCCCATATGTAACAGTGCACATTGGCGCACAAACCAAGCCGTGAAGTCCAAGGAATTGTCTGTAGACCTCTGAGACAGGATTGTATCGAGGCGCAGATCTGAGGAAAGGTATAGAAAAATTTCTGCATCTGCAAAGGTACTTATATAGATAGCTTGGCTAAGTACTTGCTCAAAGGAGGTCATTTGCTTTATCAGTATTACTGTAGGATATTGCCGAGTTGTTGTAGGTTAGATTTGGTGCCATATAAATACAATTAAATAGAATGTTACATTATCTTGATAGTTTTCATTCTTGAATATCTTCACCTGTTAAATTATAAAAAAAAAATCTCTACGTTTTGAAAATATAAAATAGATGGACAAAACTTTACACTTTGACCACTCAGACCAAAAAATCTATTCCCTGTAAACATTTATTCATTCATTTGGGTGTGACTCTTATCAGCTTTTTGGGCTGAGTTCTAGTGGGGGATGGGATGATGTCTGTGGAAATTTGTGACAGAACTGAGCACGGCAGTTGCACAGCAAACTGAAACTTCCAGGAAACAGGACATTAGAGGACTACCAATAAAAATTATGTCTGACTCCAGTCTATTTACACCTACAGGCGAGCTGCCACTCTTTTACTGATAAGGATATACACATCCTGGACGGTGGTTTGGAGTCAAGGAGGCCATTTACGAAAAAGGGAAAGACGATCTCTGAATCAAGGAGGGGGCCTGAGGGTAAATCTTTCATCATCTTACGATGCTGCCTTGCCAGTAATCAAATAACCTGCTGGAATAATCAGATGGCCAAAGGGGAAACTGAAGCCACTAACATCAAGACAAGAAATCTCCTTCCGTGCATGGAGGGTTAGCCCCAAATCCAGCACCCTGAGACTGTATGCAAAGTGGAAGGAAGATGAGAACTAGTCAGTGTCAGAACTACTATCCAGGATGAGACAACAAAGATTTAGTTTTTTGTTAGTTTGTTTTAGTTTAGTTTAGATGTATTCACTATAGTTTAGTGAATACCTCTTGCAGCAGAATCCCGAGAGAAGAGAAGCAGGAAAAGGAACCATCACGGAAGGATGGGAGCCTGCACGGTATGTGCCACCGTCAGACAGAAGAAGAGACTGACATCCACAAATCCTGTCAGTGGCTGGACAAAGCTGAACTGAAAGACAGCACAGAGACAGCACTAATATGGCAGAATAGGAACAAGACCCCGTAGGCTGTACAGAGATGCTAATGAGAAAATTTCAGCACATAGCAACAAGGTGCAAGATGCTAGCAGGTATGGCATACATAGAACACCATAACCAAATGTCCCCTTAGGGTAGTTGAGAATGACCGAGTTAAGATCCTGTGGGACTTGCAGATACAGACAGAAAAACTGGTGATGGCAATCCAAGAGGAAGACAGCTGTAGTGACAGATGTAGCTATACTGAATGATAGCCGCTCGGGAAGTGCCAAGAGCTGAGAGGAGAGCTCAAGAAGATGTGGAGATTGAAAGCAGCAGTAGTCCTCGTTGCAACTGGAACACTCAGGGCAGTGCCCCCAACACACACCCACCCACACAAATACACTTCTCAAGCCCCCAGAGGTCCTGCGCAGCATCTTTGTTGTCATTCAGTATAGCTATATTTTATCACTACAACCGTCTTCCTCTGCTTGTCCATCACTACGATGTTAGGCTGTTAGCCATCACCGGTAGGGATGGGCACCGGTATCCGGTGCCATTCGGACATAAACGGTAGTAACCGTTCTTTTAGAGCAGAGTTACAGATTAAAAATGTCCAAGGCGAAGCGGTCAAAAGTCTTGCTGTACTTCACAGCAAAAGATGCAAACTCAGCAGCCTGCAACAAGTGCTTTAAGGTGATACTG